AACCAGTGAAATTAGATTCATTAAACTCATCTAGAGCAACTCCTGACAATCAGGACAGCTCTCTATTGTATGTTAACGAATGCTTTAGTCACTGAAATATATATTTGAATATGAAAGTGAAAGAAATGTGGAAAGTATAAAGCCAGAATTGGGGAAAAAGCACTGTGCATCAGTATCCTTTCCAGGGAAAAGAGAGAGAAAGGCAAAGACAGCAACAGACAGAGATAGTCATTTAGGGAGCATCTACACGTCACCCTATGGCGATGTAGTGTGTTGCTATGTCTCTGTATGGCACTCTACAGCAATGTAGCAATCACAAAGGTCTACACATGATCAGCAGCTACGTCGCTGTAGCGGCATGCTCCCCTGTTTTAGCGTGCCATTATGGCAACATAGCAGCAAAATCTAACCGTGTGCCGCATGCATGGTGCAGTACAGGCAGTTTCTGTGCCATGCTTTAGTACTTCCAAAAGGAAGTATGTACTAAGGCATGGTGCCACAGCAATGTTGCCACATGGCAATGTGTTGACACACCCTTAATTTACCTCTGGAAAACATTAGTACTGTGAAAGAATTATCAGAGAAATATTCATTGATTCTTTTTTCTTTAAAGGTCTGGCATTCTTGTGTATATGATAAAAAATGTTGTGACCTTTTTTTTAACCTCTGAAATGCCAGATTCTGTGAATTCATTTCCTAATATTTGTTGGCAGCTAGCTTCATGATACACATTGTTACATCTCAGCTCTGTATTCTTGGGCAACCCTGGTACAGGATGCAGTCTGTCTGACTCACAAAGGACTCACCCCCCCCTCCCCTACCTAAACGAAACTGATTAAGATGCAGTGAGAGACGCACCTAAGACCCTCACCAGATAAGGGTGACAAGAGTGAATCAACTGCCCTAGGTCTCATTTACATGAGAGATGGAAAACAGAAAGCCTGAAGCAGAGACTGCAGTGAATTCTGGGACCAGAGAAGCAGGAGAGCGCTGCATGATGGGGAATCTGTGCTTCAAATGTTAATCAACCCATGTTCACACACACCCAGCTCAGCATTTATCAGACCAGTTCTAATCTGGATTTGCTAAGGACTTTTCCCCCCCCAGACACACACACACAGCTCTAAGTTTAATAGGCATCTCGGGCCGTACATTCCCCGGTCCCACTATGGGAGGCCTATTTAAACTTGATTGACTAAAACTCGGTTGCCGGGTTAGGGAATGCTGAGGCAAGAGATCGAGTCAGAGGGGGTATGGGCAACATTTGAACAATGGTTAAGGGTTCATCACAGCATCCAGCCTGCTGGAGCCCTAATTACAGGTGTTGTCATATCTTTCCCAAGACGACTGGTGGAAGTTCTCTCCACAAAAGGTTATGAGCACCCCAATAATTGTCTTAAGTCTGTTAAAAGACTATAGTAAGATCTGGAAAAGTCATGCTAAGCTGAGGCTTGTGCACAACAAGTAAAAATCCAAAATCCTGATGCTGCAAGCTATCTATTGTTCCTGAAGAAACCATGAGATATCCCATCAGTATATCTGCCACCCATAGGAATTTCAAGCTGGCTCCCAAGTATTTGGGTTACTCCCTAATCTTAAGTGTTTCCTGATTATCAATCAGTTTCCTGAGATGGTCCAAACCAGATAACCCCTTGTCAATAGAAAAGACAATGATTTACACTACTGAGGGTGCTTCGAAGCAGCTGAACTGAGGGTATAAAAATCTGTAAGTGTGTGTGCTGCTAGAGGGAGAAGAGGAAGAGGAAAAGGAAGGAAAAGAAGTATAAGCAGGAGGAAAGAAGGAGAAGAAGAAAACCCCTGTGCTGACACCATCCCCTGTCGTTCTTGGGACGCTGGAAGAACAGATATCTCTCTCTTCAAGGATTGTGCTATGGACTGTGCCTGTCAGCTTTGCAGCCTGAGTACCGTGGACTAGGTGAGATCCCAGCGTTCTCTGTCTTCTTTCTAGGCATAAACTTCTGAACCTGAACTGTATCAGTTAAGCTTGAGCTAAGTTTCCCCAAATACTTAGTGAAACCAGGGTAGTGTTGTCATTGTTTGTGTTTGTTTTTCTTTTGCATGTCTATTACTACTAGTACTATTATATATTTCATATGCTTAGCAATAAATAACTTTTATAGTCAAACTGGTAATAATTGGGTATATTTTTTTCCTTCGCTGCTTCTCTTTCCTCCCGTGCTCTGCAGCAACGCTTCTTTTACCTATGCTAAAGATCCCTGTGAAGCCCAAATTATTGTGGGGGCTGCTCATCAAGAGGCCAAAGATTGGGACGTGCTGAGTTTGAGACACATAAGGGGATCAGCTTGTACAGGCTGATTGACCCAGTTTGACTCAGACGTGCCCTTATGAACTGAATGCTGGCCCATGAGGGTGTCAGCTGGACACCCAGGCAGATTCAGAGGGATTCTGTTTACCTGTGTGCTTGTGTCTGACTGCATTTTATTGTTGCTCTTATGAACTGATTCTTGGCATATGAGGGTGTCAGCCTGTCCATGCTGATCCGCCCGGCCAGGTCAGGCGTGTCACGTTAATTTGTGTGTGTTTGTGTGTATGACTGATTTGGTGACTGGAGGAACCCAGCCCATTGAGATTGAGTCCTGCAAGATAGCTCCACTGGGGGTGAGGGCTTGCAGAAGGGAGAAATACAGCTCCGTATAGTAACACAAGCAGCACATTGACAGAATCACCAAGACCCTAGAAACTATCCCTAATAAATGAGCACACCCCAAAGTAATGGGCAAATTTGGTAACAACATGTGCTTCAGTATGAGTAAAAACACATGTCATTTTTACGCCAATCTGGTTGTCCCAGACCTTCACTCACCTGAAAACACATGCAGTTTGGATGGCAATTAACTGGAATCAGCCCTGATTGTCCTGGGAAAAGTCCTATCTTGGATACTTCACAAGTACTTAAAGTGAGACAATGTGTTTGTATGTCTGTAGGATCACAGAGTAAAAGGCTTTGTCTTGGGGGAAATCCCATGTCTGTTTTTAGCCTCTGCTCTGTTAATATAACTCAGGATTACTTAGCTCTAGAATGAATACAGGAGACCCTCGCCATTCACGGGGGTTACGTTCCAGAGATCCCCGAGAATGGCGAAAACTGCGAATATGTCATGAACAGTGCATGCCCCCTGTGGCTGGGGGGGTACGGCTGCGCTGGCAGTGGCAGAAGCGCAGCAGCAGCAGAAGCCCAGCGCCGGGAAGCGCAGAGCTCCTGCAGACGCTGCCAGCACTGTAAGTGTCATCACACTGCCAGTGGGGAGAGAGCATGGGTTGGTGCAGCACTGCAAATATTTGAAACCACGAATGCCAAACCTGTGAATAGTGAGGGTTTCCTGTACACTAAACTGGAGGCTATATGAACAGTTCCATTTCTATTGAGAAGACATGTCTGGGACCACTGAAAAGTTGCGATTTATCGTCTTTTGCAGCTAATCTAACTAACTCTTGTTTTTTGTTGAATGTTACTCAGGATAAAAACAGACCTTGCATGTGAGGTGGTTCTGATCGATCCAAATGGAGACCTGGGAGCAGCGTAGCCCTTTACACATGCAGACTGTCCGTGGCATAAATTAGCTGCAATTGGTCCAGGAAAAAGTGTTCTCTTGGATACTTCACCGGTAATGAAAACGGGACAATGCTTTTGTACATCTGTAGGATTCCAGGACAAGCCTGAAAGAAATCTGATGCCTGTTTGTATCTCGAAGGATTCTAGGACAATAGGCTCTCTTTATGAAGAAAAGCAACATGTTTTTACCCTTAAAGGAAGGAGGTTATTTGAAGCTGGTAAGACTTGAAATTTCTCTAGATCTCTGGAATGATTTAAATAAGGTAAGGTAATACTAGGATAGCTGGACTCCTGTGGGACAATGTTTACAGCTTACTCCCTAGCCCTATAGATTCTGGAGGTCCTTGGCTATCAAGGTTATCCTTGTCTATCAAGGAAACAACACACCGATAAGTGCCTAAGAGCTATTGACAAAACATTCTTGGTCAAAGGATTTGGTTATGGAGAGATTAGGCCAACCCAGAATTGGCGGATATCTACCTTGCCTCCATGGTGAGCAGGAGTGCCACAAAGAAGCACACGCTGCCAGGCAGCGTGGCAGTGCCTAGCCATTCCTATTTGACACAAACTGCTAGAAATTAGGCTGCATATAGCACTCCTGAACACACACAGAGTTGCTATCAGGCGTGCTTCTGGACTGGAGCAGGCGAGATGCAGAAATAACAGCACCTGACACTGCTCTGCATGTGGCTGCTGCCCCGGGGCACTCAAGTACTCAGCGATGCCTCTGCTCCCAGGCCATGCTAACCCCGCTCCTCTGCTCAAGTTGCTTCCAGTGGGAAGATCTTGGCTTTATGCCCACTTTATGAAAATGCCAGACTCCTCCCTAGCTTGCTCCTGGGACCTTATGATTATGGGGAAGTGAAACTTGGGGGTATCTGAACCCGGGCCTGCAAGTAGGACGTCTGCCAAAAGGATCTGGAAACATCTTTAGCCCCCATGTTTGCCACTTGTGGTTGTTGACTGACTCACGGATTTGGATTGGATTTGGCCTGGAACCGGAAAATTTTTCAATTTAAAAAAAAAAAAGTCCTGCACTTCGGGTGCGCTTACCAGGGCCTTTCTTCGGCTGACACCGAGGCCTGCCCCAAAACCGTGCAGACCCCGGCCCCGCATTTCAAATAAGGCGAATACATCCAGCGGGCAT